GATGCCCAGCTAAGAGTAGGCCCTACCAGAAGGGCCACTGTCCAGCTGATCCAGTCGCTAGGTGATTCACTGATCCACACGGGAGGCGGTCAAGTGGCGCGAATTTTCCCGGCTGCCACTATATATACATGCTAAACACAATAAAAAGTTATTTTCATAAGCTTTTGAGCTTTGAAAAAAACAAGAAAATAGTCTGATATATTAGGTATATGGGCAATATGAAAGCTTGTGAGTGATGTTTGATCAAGTTACAGAGAATTCTCCAGATCCATTTCTTAAAAATTTTCTAAATTGCTTATATTAAAATGGTTCTCTCTTGTTGTGATTCTATCAAAGTAGATACCTTGTACTTCCTTTATTATGGAAGGTAATACCGATTACGACTTGAAAACTCCATATAATATAGAGCCCACTGCAGATGTGCCCTTAGTGACAGCCAAAATCGCGCCACTCGACATACACCCGATACACACTGGTCAGCGAATGCCTGTGGTGAAAACTTAGCACACGGGGCGCTAAGTTTGGGGAAAAATCTCATCGCTTTTACGAATGTAAATATGCTTCCTGGAGTTGCTGGGCACATCAACTAACACATTATTGCTGTTGGAAACAAAGTACAGGAAGATAGATGTGAGGCAGGCTTACACATCATCATGGGGAGGAAGTTCAAGTGTAGGGGGCTTTTGTACAACCGTCTGCTGTTCACCTTGTCAATTCGCATGAGATCTCTTCACCTCGCCTGGCTATCCTTCGACTCCACCCTCTCATCAAAAACTATCATCAACTGCTATTCTCCTACATAAGCAGCTGATGACTCGGAACTAGATGCTTTTCACGAAGATATGGAAAAAGTTATCCGCAAAGGAAATTCTTTCTAAAAATTTGTGATTTCAATGCGAACATCGGGATGCCAGAAGGGGAGTATGAGATCGGAAGATTTGAATAAAAACTCCAAAATGAGAATGGTGAACGTCTTGTTGAGCTATCCGCCGCAAGGCTTCTTCACTAAGAAAAAATTATCGGTGAACATAAAAGTCGCCCAACGGCAAGACTGGAGATCGACCACGTACTCACCAACCGAAGACGGTGCTTCCTGGACGTCTCAGTGGTACCACCCTTCAGCAGTGGTTCGAATCACTGTCTTCTTCGAACAAAGTGCGATTCAGCCGAAAGCTGGGAAAGGAGATCTGTCACAGGGAAGGAGGGAAGATGGATTGATGGCGTCATATTGGAGGAGCATTTGACCGCCTGTCTCTGGCCCATCAAGGAGGACGCAACGAAGGATTAGGACCTGCTTCTCAGAGGGCTGAGAGCCTGTGATAATAGTGCCTCAATGCCTCAAACAAGGAACTTGCGACGAATTAAGCTACTAAGAATCTGTTTAAGAAGAGTAGGGCACTGAAGCCAAATCCACTGCATCACAGCTCGATCGACTGCCAACCCAGTTGCAGAACAGCTTGGCGACAAATTTTGAGAGTACATGCTATCGATTTGGAAGCAGAACAATGAAAGAGAAGTCTAAAAAAGTACCACCAGGACCTTATTACCGTATTTTGACCATATTACTAAACAAGGACGGCACTTGCACTTCTTTCCGACAAAAGATGGAATTGATCACAAAGATTTTACACATTTCTTCTACTCATCAACATCCGTGTCCTTCCCACAGCAGATACCACCATGGGCTACCTGCTGAAGTACGCGCCGCAATCCAGTTCATGAAAGCAGCCACGGCTCTGGGACCGGACGACGTTCCGGCTGACCTCTAATGACCGGAGGACATTGCCTACACAAAAAACTTGCGGGGCACCTTTCGTATTACCTTCAAAAGGAAAGGATCCCCGACCATTAAAGAGCCTCACGCACAGTCCCACTTCATAAAAAGGGCGATAGGGAGGATCTTCGGAACTACTGTCTAATACGCATGCTGAGTGTGCTTTACAAACTCTTCACGATTTGTTCTCATTTGCACATCAAGGGCACTGAATCAAGCCTAATCTGTAGAACAAGCTGGATTTCGCAAGGGTTAGCTGCGTGGATCACATCCAGACTGTTTCGAAGATTGAGGATCGCTGAGAGTACCGTCTACACGGCTATAGAGTGTTTGACAACGTCGAGACCAATGCCATGCTCGTTCAACGCTCGAGCAAGGGGTGGACCCATCTTAAGCGGACATTAGCCGACTGCTACAAAATCGCTCTACAACGCTGCAGCTTTTCTATCGTCCCCTTAGCATGCCAATTTCAAAAAGAGTTCGATAAGGCGGATCTGTTTCGCCAAAAGTCCGCCACCTTGCAGTGGGTGATTAACTGGACTGGAACGAGAGAGGTATACGAGTTGATGGGAGATTCCTTTCGAATCTTCGTTCTGCGGACGACATTGTTCTCTTTT